AATATTTTTGTTTATAAGTTTTCCGTAAACATTATCTTTGTGGACATTGTTTTCCTGGCAGTTTTAGATAAAATAATTTCAGAGATATAAGAAGTCAACTTTCTTTTTAATTTTTACCAAGGGACAGCTTGAGGTTAGAAGTATACTCTATTACTGAGAAGTTGAAAAATATTGATAATTGTTTGTTTTAAAGATATCACTCGCGATTGGAGTGATCATGCGCTGTGGTGGCCTGAAAAAAGACGGTGGTTGACACATACCAGAAGTACCTTAGATCAAGTTGGGATCACAGCTGATACAAATCTTGAATTTACTCCCCAACATAAATTAGCTCGGTAAGGATTAGCATAGTTCACGCTTTTGCTGTAGTTACTGGCTAGTAAATCCTAGTTACTTTTTGATCCTCGTTTTTTTTTTTTTATACTTAGATTTTATATTTCTTGTACTGTTATAATGTTTATTTATTTTTGTAGAGTGCAGCTTCCCGATCTTCAAATGATTGATGCAAGACTTGATTTTTCTGTAAACGTTGTCCGTGCCGTTCAACAATTATGCAGGGAAATAGGTAAAATAAAATTTTTTTTATTTTCGAAGACTTTAACTTGTAGCTGGTAACATTTCGTTTTTTTAAACTTTACTGCTTAGTTCCTTTTTTTTCACGCATAATTTATTCTCGCGTTTTAAGGCATCAGATACTCTGAGGAACTGTCATTCAAGCGCTTTATTCCTCCTGAAATTTTACGAAAAAATCTCGCCTATGAAGTTGATCAGAGTGGTTTGCAGCCAATACGACCTGGAGAGGTACTATTTAGCTGTTATTTAATCTTCTTTTTGGAGTCTTAGCTTTGTCGTTAACCTTTAAGGTCTAACCATGTTCCATATATTTAATTTTTTACGAAATTTGTTAAAGGAGTCTGTTGGTCCGGGTACTCTTCGTAGGCAGACTCCGATTAGTGCCTCTGCTTCAAACTTAGCTGGGCCACTGCGTCGTGGTACAAGTCCTTTACCTTCTAATGGAGGACAAATGTTTAATGCCAGTGAGTTGGGCACACTACCCAGGGCGGGTACATTACCACGCGGGGTCAGTCCAGGACCTGGAGCAGTCAGTTTTTATTTCAGTCTTTATTGATTTTCATCTTTCTGTCTTCTACTAAACATATGCGTGTTGGTTTTTTAGTATAACTCTACAATTGGTAGAAGCCCAATTATGCCATCAGTATCATTTTGTGAGGGCCTAGAAAATGAGCAATACGATCTAGCTTTGGTGCATTCGCCGCATATTGTTCCGAATAAAGAGATGACTGTGTTTCGTCCTCAGAATTTCATAGAAAAAGCGGCTTTAAATCGCGGATGGCTTGACTCTTCAAGGCACTTTTACAGATTTTAAATTTGTAGTCCTATTATGTGTTTCTTTTACCGCTTGTAGTCGTATTTGAACAAATTCAAATTGTTCCAGTTTTCTTAGGTTGATACTTTAACTTCAGGTCATTGATGGAACAGGGTGTTTTTGAAGGAGATATTGTGTTATTACGCTTCAAATTTATGAGCTTTTTCGATGTCAATCCTAAGGTTTTTTTCTTTTCACCTTCCACTTTCTTAGTTTAAATGAAAGTATTGCTTTTTTTAAATGCCTCGCTGTTATACTTTTTATCAGCTTTTAGTACGACCTTGTCCGCATTAACCAGCTGTATGAACAAGCTAAATGGTCAATTTTACTAGAGGAATTTGATCACACTGAGGAGGAAGCTATGCTATTCGCAGCTCTCCAGGCACGTTTCTTAAAAAATAAGAGGGTTTTTGTGGCGAAATACTCTTTTTAAAGGTTTTATTAGCTGACAGTATACTGTGGTTTATTAGCAAAATGTTATTTATAATTCTTTATTTGCCAAAATGACCTGCGTTTAATTGTGTGTTATTTAGTTGCAAGCGAATCTCCAACGAAATGTTATGGAGACTGAAAATCAAGAGAAAGGAGACGTTGAGGTCTTGTTAGATGAACTGGTAATTATATAGCATTATATAGAGTAGCTTAAGTTTTTTGCGGATAACTTTTTGCGACAGATATGTGACATCAGTAACACTAGGTTCAATTGCTTATTTTTGATTTTAGGAGCAGAATCTTGACGCAGCAGCGTTAAGCAACAGAGCAGACTTGACGCAAGTTCCCGAATTAGCTGATTATTTGAAATATATGAAGTACGAAGTTTCTTGGAGATTTGTACCTTATTTTACGAAGTTTTTCTGCAAAATTGAGCTGTTTAATTTGATTTTTTGTATTTTTAGTCTGTTTCGACATTTCAATTGTAGGCCTAAGAAGTATGCTGCTTTCAAGGGCTTCAAACGGGCTTACTTTTCTTTCCGGGATCTTTATTTAAGCTGGAATCAGAATTCAAATGATTTTAACAGTCCTCCACTTGGGCATATCTGCCTTAAAGGTTAAGAGATCGTGAAATTGGTCTTCGGTTTATCAGCACAAAAATTATTTTTAACTTTTTTGGTTCATATATGATCTAGCTTTGGATTTTCAGGTTGTGAAGTACTTCCAGATGTTTCGGTTGCACAAGGGAAGTTCCACATTAAACTTTTGATCCCAAGTGCTGAAGGAATGAATGAATTGATATTGAAGTGTGATACGGTTGGTGTCTTGATTTTTTTATTTTTACTGCCTAAATATGGATAGAATACTTGCAAGTTTTTGTTAAAGGAACATCAGTATGCCAGGTGGATGGCGGCATTTAGACTGGCATCAAGAGGCAGATCGATGGCTGACGCAACATACCAGTCTGAAGTTGATTCGATCAAAAAATTGCTTGCAATGCAGTCTGGAGGTTCTAATTTCTCTCATTTTTAATGGAAGTTTTTCATTGCAATTGTCTTTAAAATTTGAATTTTTTTCTATTAGGCTGTTTCGTTTTGTGAGCTGCCTAAGTTTTGTTTTTTAGGCAAAACTTCGCAGCTTGACAATTCTAGGAAAGCTCCTCCTGTACAACTTCCACCTGATTTCAACGTTGATGAGTTTGTTGCGCAGCGGTATGTGCGTCGCGCAAGAACGAAACAAGCGGTGGGACTTTAATCTTTGTTGCTTTTTTTTCGTTTTTCTTCCTTCTCTTGAGAATAACTTTCAGTGTGTTTTTGGTTGGCTACTGAGTTAAAGAACATTATTTGTAGCTTCAACAGAGGATAGCAGATGCGCATGCAAATGTCCGTACCTTGTCAGGAACAGAAGCGAAGTTACAGTATATTCGAGCATGGGAAGCTTTACCAGAACATGGAATTCATTATTTTGTTGTTCGATTTAGGTACTCATATGTCTTCAGCTCTTACTTTTAATCTTTTTTTAAAAAGAAAGAATGCTTTAATATTATACCAAATGTTTTTTTTCTTTTAGGAACGGTCGGCGGCCAGAATTGCTTGGTGTGGCACTCAACCGCATTATGCGTTTAAATATTGACACTGGAGAGGGCTTGAAGACCTGGCGATTTAGCAATATGAAAAAGTGGCATGTCAATTGGGAAATCAGACATTTGAAGGCAATCTAGTTTTTTTTCTCACTTGTTTGGAGTTTACTGTAAACGTACAACTTTATAAATCTTCCAGAAACTATTTTGGATTTTCTTTGACTTTTGCGACTCTCTAAGTTGAGTTGTTTTTCTTACTGGTTTTTAATAAGCAGTTACATAATTTGAAAGTAGAAAGAAAGGAGCCATTTGGGTTTCTACTTGAAACTTCTGTTTTGCTTTAATACTTTTTTTATCTTATTTAAACCTACATTATTTGCTTTGTTAGCAGAAGTATACTTTTATAATGGTAATCTATACGGCCGTCCGTTTTTTTCTTTTTGGGCTGATTATCAAATTTTGCCTACTTTAATATTTCTTAATTTCACATTTATCATGGTATTTATTTTAAGGGATTTTTTACATTTTCAGGTACAGTTCGAAGAAGAAGACATAGAGTTCAAGCCTTTATCAGCAGATTGTAAGGTAACTCTTTTCGCGAGTAAATATTAGATTTTAATGGAGGTTTATTTCTGGTTTAAATACTTATAGTGCTATAAAAGGTGCAATAAAAGACATTGTTGACTTATTCCTATATGTGTAATAAAATTTCAGGTTGTACATGAATTTATTGGTGGTTACATTTTCCTCTCTCTGCGAAATAAAGAGCAGAACCAAACTTTAAATGAAGAATTATTCCACAAATTGACTGGAGGATGGGCTTAAGTGTCGTCTGCAATTTTTAATTTAAATTATGTATATAATCACTGTGAGGTAGAATTGACTAATGTTCCTCTGTGATTGCTGATATGAGGTGAAATCTATTTTTATTTGAATGACAGGTTTTTGCTCATTTTTTGTTAGGCGGGGAATTATTGCAGATTCAAACATTCTAGTTTCTTGAAAGACTTCAAAAGTCTTGTGGTGGAACTGTGCAGTTTTTCAAAAAGGCGTAGATTGATTGTTGTGAATAGTTCTCATCTTTAAAATTTTTAAAGCTAAAACGTGATGTGGAGTAGGTACTGTAGCAGTTAAGGGTCAGTAAGTAAGCTGGGTTTCAGAAGTATTCCCAATGTAGCCTGATGAAGATTTAGCGAGAAAATACCAATTTTGGTTGTTTAGAAGGTTGACAGTTTTGAACCGAAAAGGTTGGGGAGTTTTGCTGGTAGTGGGAGTGGAGGAGGTGGTGCTGTATTTTGGGATAACTACTTGGAGTTGTATATGAAAAAACAATATATCTGTTTACCCAAGACCTGCTATATTTTATATCTTTAGTCGGTGTCAACCTTTCTCATGCAACTTTTGATGGTGCCGTATTCGGGCTCTTAATGAGTTAAGGTGATGTTTTTAGTGGACGGAAGACCTCAGATTGCTTACAGCAGCGGCTGTTTAGTTATTTTGTTACAAATGGAAGAACAGAATTAGTTTCAAATGAAATCTCAACCGTTCACTATGGGTAGCTGTAAGCCGTGCCTAATTTCTTTCAAACCCATCAAGTAAATTTTTGAAGAAAGAAATTTGATTCGAATGTAGTTCAAAAAAATAAAGTGTAAGTGATTTTTCTGAAGGTCATTTTATTCCTGAATTTTTGTTATTTTTGTTATTTTTTGCATTTATACTAAATTGAAGCTAATTTTGATTAAATAAAGAGACTGGGGTCTTTGGTACGTGGGGCTTTCCTTTTTGCATAACTTTTTGGTGTTTCTTTTGCTTTGCTCTTTTTATCACAAATGATAGCTATTATTACTAAGGAAACTTGCTGTTTCTGAGTTTTCTGTGCCATCGAACATTTTTTACATGACATTTTCGTTTAAGTTGACTATTTTCGTATACTAGCTACGTTTCGGCAAATATCAGTGGCCGTATTGAGATGTGCCTTAGGCCTGGTTGTTTTATTTAGTGCTTTTAAACAGATTTATATGCATTATTGTTTCTGATTTTGTTCTTAATTTGTAAAGCACTAAGAAAAAGGAAGTGACAAAAAAAAGTTTCTCTCACATGGGCTTTAACTTTGATCTTTGCAGTCGTGTTATCCCTGTATTTTTCTGTTTTCATCCTCTTGTAGTTCTTTTATTAATTTGTGGATTATTGCCTTTGATTGCAAGTTTTAGCGAAGGGTACATGGTGCTCTTGAATTCATTTGTGTTTTTTTTTCTACTCATGTATTTATTTAGTCTTATTTGCTCTCTAATTTTTTATTTGTAAGTATGAATAATCGATGTTTATGTGTTTACAGATTGTAATTTAAAAGGAGTCGTCTTAAAGTTTTTTATCATAATGCTGCCGTTGACTGTCTATTTGCCTATTTTTTTATATAGGAAATGATGGTTTTAGAGAATTAGGAAGAAAACAGAAGAGGTAGGGAGCAAAAATGAGCTTATAAAAATTGTAGGTGGAGCAGATCTTTACTTTAGAAAAACTGCTTGTTTGTCTTTTTTTTTCTTTGAAAGGGGAAGAGTTGTTTTTGAAAATAAAGGAAGTTTAAGGGTGGCAGTTTTTGCTATATTTACAAGGGTGAGAACAGGGTGCAATTTTTGTGCACTGGACAAGGCAGGTGGTATTTGTTGTGTGGTAGGCAGCTGAAGTGATTAAGGAAATATTGCAACAGTGCACTTATGGGTTGCTGTATTACCTTTTATTTCTTTTGCTTTGGGTTCTATACAGTTTCAGTAGTTATGTATAAATTTAAAATGGATTAAAATTTCGCTATAATAGCGTTCTGCTCTTTTTTAATGGTAGTTTTTTTTTTTTTGTTTTGTTTTGAAGGAGCAAGTTGTGTTGAATGGATTTGCAATTTCTTCTTTTCGTAGCTACCATTCCTTTCAAATAGGATTGAAGTAGTTTTCCTGTTTGCTTTTCTTTTTTTTTTTTTTATTCTAAATCATTTTTAAACTGCTTGTTTTTGAGGCCTTTTTGTCGTTTTTTTTTTAACATTGCAAAAACTATGAGAGAATGTTGTCGTAGCGTTTTGGATGTGATTCACGATGCAGATAATTTAATGGTAAAAAGTAATAAAATTTTGTTTGGTATTGTTTTTCTTTCGTTTCTGTGCAGAAGAAAAAAAGGAGATGTGAGGGAGGCAGAAAGAAAACATTACCATTTTGGCGTATCAATTTTTTTTTTGCCTTTTTTTTTCTTTTTTTTTTTTT